TACCCACTTTTAACATTGTTTCCTGTGTTTGTTGCAGTTTTTCTTTGTCACCTTCGTGCGCACCGAGCACATTGTTAGCGAGAGTGAATTCAATGCCACGGGCGGCTTAGAGGAGGTGGCCACCGCCGAGCACCTGCTGCCTGAATCGTTTGTGGAACAGATGCGTGAAGCGGTGCCCACCGAGCGTGTCCTATATCCGTCCTATTTGAGCAACTTCAGTGTCCTCATACTTATCGCCATTGCTGTAATTGCACAGCTCACGCACTTGACCAAAATCCTGTTGCTCCTGTCCATTGCAGGTGAGTTTTGTTTTTGTTGTTGTTTGTAATTGTATAGTAAATCTTTTTAACAGTTAAGCTAATTGATTATTTTTTATTTACTCTCAGCCCTGCATTGTTATTTCAATGTGTGCATTATGCAGGATTTGTACATTCTGGAGGATGATCTGGCACACCAGCCGTAAGTTTAGTCATAGACAGAAAAAATGTGTTATAGAGTATTAATTAAATAATTCGTTGTTTTTCTTTTTTCAGTCTTATATCAACGCGTTATTGTGCCTCAGGTCTGCTACTAGTGGCGGCATTGTCACTCAGCTTTTTGGCAAGACATGTAAGTAAGAAATTGAAAATACATTTAATTTCAAAAAATATATTATATTTTATTCTATTCTATGTTACTGTTTACAGAAAAAATTGTCATCATTATTTTTTAAACATTTAAGCTGTTCCTTTAGTTTAGTTTACAGTCAGAAATAGTTAAAAAAAAAAGACAATTAATAATATTAATATTGTTTACTGTATATAAGCTTTGGTATTTATTTGCTATCAATAAATACCATAAAATTTCCATTTTGAGGCTCACTTCACACTGATCCTAATATACAAAGCCTAGTATTACTTAACTTACTGACTGTACCTTCCTAATTATATTTAAACTATATTTTATTTTTTTACAAAGAAAACTTGCTCTTAAAATGGCATACAAATTTTTTGTTCATTTCCAAACATTTTAAAATTATTTTAAAAAATTTTTAACTCTACTGTATTCCCATAAATTTTTTAAATATTGTAATATTGGATTTGACAGTACCTTGTTCACTCTTCTCAGTATTCTGTTCCCAAGGTTTGTTTTTCGTTCTTGGTTTTCTCAGCGTTTTGTTCCCAATTCACATTTCACCTCACATCTTTTACTCAGTATTCTGTTCCCAAGGCATATTTAAGCAAGGGAAGGTAGACAATGGTGTCGCATTTTTTATGTATGACAATTTATTAGCTGACAAAAGTTATGTCAAAATCGCATTACACAATTCATCGACTAAATAATATAGAATTTTTTTTAGTTATTTTTGTAATTGTTGGCATTTTAATTTCAAATATACAAGAAATTTATTAAATTACAATTATTACATTTCAATGAATCTAAATTCATTTTGTTTCTCATCATTTTAAAAACAGATGGACCACGAGGATCGTGTTATATTCAAATGGAAAACTGAGGTGGCCGAGCAGAAGGAAACCGCCAACGATATGCGTCAGCGCAACGAGGCTTTGGTCTATAATGTGCTGCCCGTGCATGTGGCCGAGCATTTTATGAAGAATACAAAGCGCTCCCACGACGATCTCTACTCGCAGAGCTATGCCGAGGTGGGCGTGCTCTTCGCCAGCATGCCAAACTTTTCAGGTAAAATATCCACTCTGTTTATATATTTGGAATAGAATTCAAGCATTGGGCATACTCTACAGATTTCTATTCGGAGGAGACCGTTAACAATCAGGGCCTGGAATGCTTGCGTTTTCTGAATGAGGTCATTTCCGATTTCGATGCGGTAAGACAAATGTATATAAAGATCTATGTAGTACTATATAAGTATGTTTTTCCTTTTAGCTATTGGAACTGCCACAGTTTCAGGACATCATTAAGATAAAGACAATTGGATCAACTTATATGGCAGCCAGTGGCATTAATTTGCAGCGCAATTTACGCACTGATGCGCCTATTACCGAGCGCTGGTCCCACTTGGCGGTTCTGGTGGAATTCGCCCTGGAGCTGAAGCATGCGCTGCAGGGCATCAATGAGCAATCATTCAATCATTTTGTACTCAAAATGGGCATCAATCATGGACCGATAACGGCGGGCGTGATTGGCGCCCGGAAGCCACACTACGATATCTGGGGGAATACGGTGAATGTGGCCTCGAGAATGGAGAGCACCGGCAAAGCGGGTGCCGTGCAGGTCACCGAGGAGACCTGTAACATATTGCAGCAATTCGGATATACGTTTCAGCAGCGGGGCCTGGTGGCTGTAAAGGGCAAGGGACAGCTGATGACCTATTACTTGCAGGTGGGTGAAACAAGGAACACTCAAGTTCACTCTTAGGCTAAATTCTCTGACTAATTGCAGGGCAAAACTGAGAGCAGCGCTGCGGAGGCAAAGGCAGCCGTTGAGCTGCATGAGAAAGAGACGGTGACCACGGCAGCTCCAGTGTCAGTTAGTTTGGAGTGCAGCACTGAGCTGGAAGCGGACATAAAGACACCACTGCTGAAGCTCAAGGCACAGGATGCAGCAACGGAAGCCGCGGCAGAATCATGTCTGGGCAACGGAACCGTTGGGGAATCTCAATCCCTGTTGGAGTGAATTCAGAATGTATTACATTTGACATATTCAAAATGTGTATGGATGTGTGTGTGAGCGTGTGTGTGTGTGTTAGGGTGTGTGAGCGTGAGTGTGCTTGTGCAAGCGTGAACATATAGTTAACTGTTATACAACTGTTATACTTGCTACATTTGGTTTGCCTATATTCGTGTGATATTCTCTGCTACGTGAACAACTTTGAAACAAACAAAACAAATGAAAAGAAGCATAAGAAAATTTATACCCTTTAGTTGTAACTGGTCTTCGCTTTTGAAAAGTTTGTAAACTGTGTACCTTAAACATTTATAACTATAACTTAAGTATTCAAATTTATTGTGAATGTTTTGTTTTAAACAAATTGTTATTTCATTTACAAATTATATAGTAGAAAAGAAACTGTAATATAATAAATTATTTGCTTAACAACATTAGTCGATGTGTAGTTCAAAAATATTACGAATCCAGAACATCAATTTATAAACTCTAGCTTTAGGAACTTAAATTAAATTATACATATACAACTAATTGCATTACCTTTCGCAAAAGGAAACCCCCAAACAAAGTACTTCTCGATGTGAATGTGCTTGAAATGTAACTATATAATAATACAAATTAATACAAAAGCAAACAAACGCAAATACATAAAAAATAATGCATATGTGTAGACTAAGTCGAGATAATTAAATTGAGAATCCGTATCCCACCACACAACAAAAAATGCAACCCACAAGCAAGTCCAAAAACGAAACAGTTAAACAAATTGTATGTACTATAATTATGCTAAATAATTATTAACTATTAGTGAATATATAGCATTAAATAATGCCCCAATCTAGTGGAAGAGCAATAGTAGGCAAATAATTTGAAGAATTCGGCATGCATACTACACAAAATTATTAAACAGAATATAGACTATAAATAATTACATATACATATGCATATATCTAGTCTACATATACATTAGCATGTCTACATAGAGAAAGCGTCGCATGTTTACTAGAGAACTTCAACGAATTAGTCAAGAAACAAACTACGAACGAACTTACATAGCAAGATAAACTCACTGAAAATTACATCAATATATTAAAACAAGAAGATTCAGAAGATAAACGAATGGCAAATCCAGTTTATAAGCATTTTTGTCCATTGGTTTCGTTAACCTGACCTAAATCGTTTTGTTATTAATGGCTTAAAGCATGACAATCAACGAAAAATATGTAAGTTAAAGGCATGACGATGATTGTTTAATTATCAATCCAAAATCGCTAAAACCATCTAAATTAATTTTGTTTGTTTTAAATATTTGAGAATTACCCAGCAAAACTAATAAAAAAGAAATCCATTAGTAAATGTTTCAGTGTTGTGTTTTAAGCTATTAACTAAAGATCTAACATTGCACTTTTATATAGTTTCAATGACAAAAAAAAAAAAAAAAAAAAAAAAAAAAAACTAAAAATTCGCAAATTATAGGACAAAAGCAAAAGCCTAATAAATCTACATAAATATAAATATATATTTTGCATTTACTTCAACATAATTTTAAATTACGCGGGCACTAACAGGTCATGTTAACAGCAGGTGGCTGGAGTCACTGTTAAAAGGCTCACTTGGTTATGCAAAAAACAGTTATTTTAATGTTAACTAACAGGTCTCGTGTGACGTCACATTTTGAGTTTGCTTTCGTTATCCGTTTCACGGGCACAAAACAGGCATCCTTAAAGTTCTTCCAAGCAACCAATATAGATAATTCGCAGTTAATTTGTATAGTAAGTTAAAAAAAATATAAATTGTAGCCACAACCAGACGATGTACTACTCTATCTCTCTCTAGGCTCTGTCTCTCTCTCTCTCTCTATGAAAACACAAGCAAACATCAGTGCACTCTTAATTGTGATATTTTGTATTTGAAAGTACTCATGGAGATTGTTAATTTTCTTAAAGGCACTTAGCTATTTAAACAATCAAAAAGTTTATATATTTTGTCAATTAATATTGCTGTCTTTCCAGTCAGCAATTCCGCTCGAATCGAAACTTGTGGGGCATAATTGATTTTCATTTTCTCAATGCAAATTGGACTAACATGTTTCAAAATAAATTTCGGACATAGACGCAATAAATTTTTTATTTAAATTTCTTAGATTTTCCTAATATATGTAATTTGATTAATTTATGGATCAGTAAATCAACATTTCTTTTAAATGATAGACCACTCATGACACTGTTGTTACTGCTATCTCTGGTTAGTTCTGTTAATCAATCGTGAGGAAATTGATTAATAATGTTAACATGAAGAATTCACAACAGTCCCGTAGTAATGTTATCGTTATCGTTATCGTATTACGCTGTTACAGGGATGCATAGAATCACTGTCATTGTCGAAATGGACTGGCAGCCTTGTCGCCGTAACATTGGAGTTCATTTTGGATTGTAAAAAAAGTGCAAAAACCTAAATTTTACGCATAAATAATTAGTACATAGTGTAATTAAGAAGCGCGTAAGTGTACCACGCGTTGCCGTTGCAGTGTACAGCAAGTGCGGATATTTTGGGGGCCAACTGCATTCGATGTTGCACCTCGAGGCTGTCGACGTCGTCTCTAGATTTTTTTTGTTGGCCTGGGGCTCTGCTGATTATGCCTGGTAGCAGCAACGTACGAGGGGCGACGCAATTGTATTTTATTTATAACAAAGTGCGCGTTTAAAGGCATATTCATGTTGTATACGCTCGTGACAATTTCTTCTTTACTTTAATATATTGTGTTTTCAATAATATTGTGCCATTTCTTTTCTCCTCCACTTACCAACACCAATCAAAAACTAAAAAAACAAACAGTTCAGCAAACAATTCATATCCACCCACACACACACACACATACATACACACATCGAAATGGCCGAGATGTCGCTTAAGCCAAAAAGAGTGGAATTTGGTGAGATCTGGAATCCGTTGAGTCGCACTGTCGAATCACTGATAACATTGCGAGCAGTTGATCGCAAAGTCTGGAATGCATGCTTTTCGTGAGTATCTGCTCCTGTATATCGCACAGTGGAACAACTTCGTTAACCATGCTAAAAAATACATTTTAAATAAAAAAAGTTAATAAAAAATAAAAATATAAAATATTAACCACAAATAGTTAATAAATCATAAAAATACATAAACAGAAAATTTTATTCGGATTTTAGAAAATCTCGACTGTTGTTAACATATAAGTTGCATGTGTTCCACTGTGTGACGCAGCATGATTTGCCAAAATTGAAAATATTTTCTTTTTGACAAACATTTACATAGTATATGCACATGTTTTCAATAAAACTTTAAACTGTGTGTGTAAAATACACATACACACGTTTCTACATACCTCCAGCGATGTTTATACATTGTGCGTGGCACAGCCGGAACCAATGGCCGATCGACTCTATACCGAGACAAAGAATTTCCTGGAGTCTCACGTCCGGGACATGCTGGCCAACAAGGTGATGGCGAAGCATGATGCAGCCAATGCCAATAATACGAATAGCCGGCCAGATCTACTGCAGCGCTATTATACCACCTGGACGGAATATAGCCAGGGCATCCAGTATCTTCATAAATTATACAAGTAAGTGGTTGGCCTAACTAATTAATTGAGTTTGATGTTAAATGGTAATTGTTTATTGCTTTGCAGTTACTTAAACCAGCAGCACATCAAAAAGCAAAAGATCACAGACACGGATACCATGTATAGCAATCAGACTAGTGCGGCCGGGCAAATGGAAATCGGTGAGCTTGGCTTGAATATTTGGCGCGTGATTATGGTCGAGTATCTGGCTGAGGATCTGGTGCGTCACATATTGGAGGGCATTGCAGCGGATCGGGCCAGCAACGGTACACTCGATTCGCATCGTGTACAGGTCATTAATGGCGTTATACACAGCTTTGTTGAAGTGGAGAACTATGAGAAGGTCATCAATGACGTTGTGAACAACGTGGATAACGAAAAGACTCAAAAGCCAGACTCGTTAAATTTAAAACTGTATCAGGAGCACTTCGAGGGACCGATGCTGGAGGCGAGCGGCGCCTACTATATGATCGAGGCCAACAAGCTACTGCAACGTTGCACCGTTTCACAGTACTTGCAAGAGGTTATTAAGATACTGGAGTGTGAGACTAAGAGAGCGGAAAAGTTTCTTCATAAAACTTCGTTGCCAAAGCTGCGCAAGCAATGTGAAGAGAAATTCATTAACGATCGCTTGGGCTACATATATTCAGAGTGCCGGGATATGGTATCGGAGGAGAGGCGTCAAGATCTACGTAATATGTACATTGTGCTCAAGCCCATACAAGATAATCTAAAAGCGGAGCTGATACAAACCTTTCTGGAGCACATAAAAAACGAGGGCCTGGAAACGGTGTATGCGCTCAAGGGCGAGAATATACACATTGCTTTCGTTGAGAATATGCTGAAGGTGCATCACAAGTATCAGGAGCTGATTGCCGATGTCTTTGAGAACGATTCGCTGTTCCTTAGCGCGCTGGACAAGGCCTGCGCCAGCGTTATCAATCGACGTCCCAGCGAACGGCAGCCGTGCCGTAGCGCTGAATATGTCGCCAAATACTGTGATACACTGTTAAAGAAATCGAAAACCTGCGAAGCGGAAATCGATCAGAAACTCACAAATAATATAACTATATTCAAATACATTGAGGACAAGGATGTGTATCAAAAGTTCTACAGTCGATTGCTAGCGAAGCGTCTTATACACGAGCAAAGCCAGAGTATGGATGCCGAGGAGGGCATGATTAATCGCCTAAAGGTATTTTTCTTTTATATATGCTTATATACGTATATTCATTCAAATTTATATATTGCAGCAAGCTTGCGGCTATGAATTCACCAATAAACTGCATCGCATGTTCACGGATATTTCAGTCTCCACAGATTTGAACAATAAGTTCAACAATCATTTAAAGGACAACGATATTGATCTGGGTATGCGAGTCGTATTTTGATTATATAGAAGAAAATATTGATTCTTGGTGCACGAAAATAGAATTGAATACTAACATAAATTATTTGATTATTTATTGTTCAGGTATAAATCTGTCAATTAAAGTGCTGCAGGCGGGCGCTTGGCCCTTGGGCTCGACACAAGTTATACCATTTGCAGTGCCCCAGGAATTCGAAAAGTCCATCAAAATGGTGAATTGCCAGAATTCAGTTGCATTAATCAAACAATTAATTAATTTCGAATGATGTTTTCAATTCTAGTTTGAGGACTATTATCATAATTTATTCAGCGGTCGCAAACTGACCTGGCTGCATCATATGTGCCATGGCGAACTGAAGCTGAGTCACCTCAAAAAGTCCTACATTGTGACAATGCAGACGTATCAAATGGCGATAATATTGCTTTTCGAGACCTGCGATACGCTCAGCTGTCGTGAGATCCAAAATACGTTGCAATTAAATGATGAAACGTTTCAGAAGCATATGCAGCCGATGATTGAATCCAAATTGTTAAATGCCAATTCAGAGAATCTCTCGGGTGATACGCGCATCGAATTGAATTTCGATTATACCAATAAGCGTACGAAATTTAAGATAAGCTCGGCGTTACAAAAGGAAACGCCACAGGAGGTGCGTGCAAAAGAAATCAAAGAATCTTTTAGATAATATATGAATGAATGCTCTCAATTATATTATTTAGGTGGAGCATACGATCAACTCGGTGGATGAGGATCGTAAACTCTTTCTACAGGCTGCCATTGTGCGTATTATGAAGGCGCGCAAAGTCTTGAAGCACAACGCTCTGATACAAGAGGTATGTCAACGCATCTTATCCATATCCATATCCATTATATATATTTAAACTAATTGTATATGTCTTCTATCAACAGGTACTGTCTTTATCGAAAGTTAGTTTTACGCCCAATATCGCAATGATCAAAAAATGCGTTGAATCGTTAATTGACAAACAATATATTGAGCGTACAGCTAACTCTGGTGACGAGTATAGCTATATGGCTTAGACTGCGGATGGCTCGGACGGCTGACTAGAGATTACTACAACGGAAAAAAAAACAAGCGGAAAAGAAAGAGAAACAGAATAAACAAACTAAAAAAGCAAAGTAAAACAAAAACAAATAAAAACTTTCACTAATTGAATTCACAATGCACAACAATCCAAGCAACATATAAATAATTATTATACCTTGTAATGCATTGCACCGAGGCATATTTTGTTAAATCTTTTTAAAATTCATGACAAGCATTACGCAACGGCAGCAACAATTACAGCTAATATCTCGTAAAGTCTGAGGGACTGTCTAAATTATTCAATTGAAATTCCTAAGGTAATGCAAACAATATTTCTTCGTTTTTCTTTTGTTTCTGTTTTTTTTTTTTTTTTTACTATCCCTACAAACCCTACAAAAAAATGAAAAGAAGAAGGCGTATAAACTGTGCGCATCACTGATACTTTTAGTTAGTTTATTTAGTTTTGTAATAATTATTTCGTTTTTCGTTTCAATATCTTTTCTTTCTTTCATATAAATGTATATTTATCTGGTACAAACACACAAACGAAAGTGCGAGCAAATGTGTAATAAAAAGAAGAAAATGAGAAAATCATACGCAAATTCTATTTACGATTTTTAATTAAAAATTAGCCGTTAAATTAGTGTTAATACTATTAACTGCTCTAAATGGTATGTGTCTGCTCCTAAATATCGTTCAAGCTTTGCAATATATTCAATGCAACTATCCGAATCGATGACTGTAGCCAAAAACTGTTTCAATAATTCATGGTCAATGAATTGGTTGAATTAACTATTTCATTGTTTAATTTAGATGAATATACTTGATAACCTGGCTATATTCCGTCCAGGTGGTATGATAGCGCTACAGTAGATCTGGCCGGCTATTCGTATTATTAGCATTGGCTGCGCCATCTCCTTATCTCGGACGTGAGACTCCAGGAAATTCGTTGTTCTTTGTTCTTGGGTGTGTGTGTGTGTGTGCGTTAAGTGTGTCTGCGTGTACATCTTATTCATCAAAAATAAATTTATGTGTTTGGCCAATCATGCGGCGTTGCACAGTTGCACAGAACCGCATGCAATTTATATGTTATTAATATTCATAAAATCCGATTAAAATGCACTGTTCATTTATTTAAATTTAATTAGTGATTCTCCGTAACAAATCATTTTATGAATCACACAAATTTTTATATTTCTCTTTTCTATATCTTTTTTTATTTTATTTATTTTTTTTTTAAGTT